TTGTCCCCAGTCCATTGTGATGTCACTGCTACCAATGATGTCACTCATGTCCCTGTGATGTCAACTCTGTCCCCTGTGATCTCACCAATATCCCCAGTGAGGTCACTGATGTCTCTTTGATGTCAGCCATTTACTTGTGATGTCACTGATGTCCCATGTGATGTCACCGATGTCCCCGTGACATCAGAGCTGTCTCTGTTTTCATCAATCCCCTTTGATGACACTCATCCTCAATGATGTCACCAATGTCCCTTTCATTAGGGTTAGGGTTGCGGTAAGGGTTTAGGGTTAGGCTTAAGCTTAGGCATAGGCTTAGGTTTTAGGGTTAGGTTTAGGGTTAGGTAATGTTTGGGTCAGAGTAAGGGATACGGTCAGGGTTAGGGTGAGGGTTTAGGGTTAGGGTTTTTGGTTAGGGTTAGGGTTTAGGGTTAGGGTTTTTGGTTAGGGTTAGGGTTTAGGTAACTTTTTGGTTAGAGTTAAGGAAAGGGTAACGATTAGGGTTAGGGTTAGAGTTAGGGTTGGATGAGGCAGAAACATCACATTTTTCTTCCCCTTCTCGGTGTGTGGGGCGAAAATCGCCCTTGTCAGGGAGCCCCTGCAGGCTCTGCTCCTCCGGTGATCCAACAGCGGCCCCTGCTGACCGGGATTGGAATTGCACCACAAAACGAGGAATCCCGGACCATTTCTTTTATTTGAGGGGAATTTTTGGTACAGGATTATTTGCTTGGTTTTGTGTTCTTTCGTTGTTCTTCCAACACACATATATCCTTTAATGAAGGGCTGTTATTTTTGCTTTCTCCATATTTCCTCTCCATACTTGGAGCCTCCTAATTTTGGATTTACAATTGCTTAGAAGGAGGAGTTTGGTCTTCCTCCTAACTCATCCTCCTGAGCCAAACACTTGTGTTTCATTAAACTGAGAGAGGTGCAAAGTCATGCTTTGTTTACAGCCCAGAGATCTTCCAGGTTCTTCCCATTTGCCTCTGCCCCTCTCAGAGAACTTGTGTGGACACCTTCCCTGCCGGCACCAGAGGATTTCACAAAACTGAGAGCGGGGGTATTTCATGGAGAAGGACCTGGGGGTGTTTTGAGACCTCTCCAAGCAAATATTTCCTTCAGGAGAGCTAAAGTCAGGACAGTGGGGGGAACAGCAGAAATGCAGCTCCTCCAGCAATGGCAGCACCTCCAGGAATTTCCAGCACATGCCCACAGATCCTCCAGAGGGGTGAGGTAGACATCAAGGTTTGAAGGGAATGCCCTGTTTGGGATAACTTAGGAGATGGCTGCATCCCCTCTCACGTACCCAGAGGCTGGAGATGCTGCTTTCTAGGAGCAGGAGGTGCCTGTGTGGGGGTTCAGCACCGCTGGCTTGGTGCAAGTACAAGAAGCGTTTGGATGATACTCCTGGGCACGTGGTGTGACTCTGGGGGATGGTCCAGAGAAGGCTCAGGAGTTGGACTCGATGATCCCTGTGGGGCCTTTCCAACTTGGAATACTGGGTGTGATTCTGTGAAGTTCCACAGGGCTGTGTGTGAGCAGAGAGCAGGCGCTGAGCAAAGCAGAGCAGGGCAATGGCAGCACAGCCCTTGAGCACTGCCCCAAGCGGGCTGAGCCCAAAGGGGAGCTGGGGGTGGGGTTGGTCCCACTCAGGTTAGGGGGCAGAGACACGGGGACAGCAGGGAGTGCAGGGCAGGGAGAGCATCAGAGGGAAGTGATGGGCATGGGGATGTCTCCAGGCTGGGCTCTCCCAGTTCTCAGTGGCCCCATCTCTCCAGGATGAGGGTGCTGATGGGGGCGGATGACAAGAGGAGCAAGGTGAGGACACAGCACAGGATTCAGATCCAGAGGGGAATGGCTGACCCTGGAAGAAGGGTGGATCACAATGTGAACAAAATATGTCTAGGAGGGAGGAGCACTGGAGGGCTGCTGAGAGGGGCAGGACAGGGCGTGTCCTGGGCACAGGGCAGGACACAGGCTGTGTGGATCAGGCGTGCAGCAGTGATGGGCAGAGCTGCTTTGGGGAAGGCAGGAGGATGATTTCTTCCTTCAGCATCCAGGGGACTCTGAACAAAAGGGGGTGATTTTCAACACTTCCCAATGGGTTCAGGGCATGGTGTAACACCTGGGAGGTGCTGAAATACTTTAGGCATCAGAGCCATCCACCTGGAACCACAAACCACACAAAACCTGGGCTTGGGGTGGTGTCAAACAGGGGAAAAAGGAGATGGGGGTTGGAGCCACATGGGTGGGAAAATTCTTGTCTAGTAAATCCTCAGTAATGGGAATGTGGAAGGGGCATGGGGCTGAGCTCTCTCCAGAGCCACAACTGAGCAGGGCATTCATTTCTTGATCCTCACAGATGACAGATGGTGGATCTGGGATCCCAACAGTGTCTCAGTGTGTGCAGCACCTGGGGGAGCTGCAGGCTCTCAGTCTGTGCCTTTCTCCTGCCAGGCAGCTGGTCCTGCTCTCAGGCAGGCACAGCCACCAATGGTGAAGGATTCCCTCCTCACACACTCAGTGACCCTCAGCATCAGGGCCAAGGTTGCCCAGCTGCCACCAGTAGGACATGAGGAGGTTCATCAGCTGGGATCTCCCTGGGCTGGAATGGCATATCCTGCTCACTGCTTCCTCTCCCCATCACACCTTCTCTGGTCTCTCCTCTTTTTCTAAGAGCCCATGTCAGCCAGTTGGGCAGATTTACATGAGCTGGCTGGTTCCACATTCATCTAAAGGATCAAGATGGGAGCTGAGGGAGGAGTTCAGTGTCTGGGCTGGTCCCTGCACAGGACACCAAGAATCATGAGCTCTACATTTCTCTAACAGAAAGCAACCCCTCTACTAAGACAATATTTTCTGTCAGAGGTAAATGATAACTTGAGAGCCGTTTCCACTCTTCTTTCCTCCTCCAATGACATTAAAGGGGACTGGTGGCAACAAACGGACAGCCGTGATGTCACAAAGACATCAGTGACCTTACAGAGGTCTGGTGAAAACATGGAGATGCCAGTGACATCACAGGAACATGCTGGCACTGCTGGGGACAGTGGTGACATCACAGGGACAGCAGTGACATCAGTGAGGGCCAGTGACGTCACAGGGGACTGATGACAACAAAGGGACAGTTGTGATGTCACAGGGACATCAGTGACATTGGTGGGGACAGCAGTGACATCATTGGGGACACGGGGACCACCTCTGGGACACCACTGGAATCACAGGGGACAGTGATGACATCACTGAGGACCAGTGACATCTCAGAGACATAGGTGTCTACCACAGGGCATGGGTGACACCCTGGGGACAGCGGTGACATCACAGGGGACAGTGGTAACACCCATGGGGACAGCAGTGACATCAATAAACACCAGTGACATCACAGGGACAGCAGTTATGTCACAGGGACTTTGGGGCCATCATTGGAGACATTGGTGACATCACAGGGGTCTGGTGGCATCACTGGGGACAGCGGTGACATCACAGGGAAAGGGGTAACACCCCTGGGGATAGCAGTGCCATCTAAAAGGCAGCGGTGACATCACAGGGGTCTGGTGACATCACAGGGAAATGGTGCCACCTCTGGGGTCAGTGGTGACATCACAGGGACTTCAGTGACATCATTGGGGAACAGTGACATCACTGCTGAGAATGGTGACATCACATGGGACAGCTGTAAAATCACTGGGGACACAGGGACCACCCCTGGGGACATCAGTGACATCACTGTATACCAGTGACATCACAGGTTTTTGGTGACATCACAGAGACAGCAGTGACATCACAGGCACAGTGGTGACATCATTGGGGACATCAGTGACATCACTGGGACAGTGGTCCATGACTGCTACAGCCACTGCTGTCAGACAGGTGGGCCATCCCTTGCTGACTCCATCCCACTGTTTGCAGTCGAGCTCGGCCCTCCTGGATGGCCCTGCTTGGTGGCCCAAGACCTCCAAAGCCATTCCTTGACGTTCACGGCACAACAACCAAAGGGGCTTCGTCCCGTAATGCAAAGCCAACGCCGGAGACCTCCTGAGCTCCCGCTTCAGGCCTTTGAAGGCCTTGTCTGTCTCAGGGCTCCACATGATGTTCTTTTGGGTTCTTTTCAGCAGGTCATACAAAGGCTTTACAAGTACTCACTACTGATAGATCCATAAACGACACCCACCT